AGGGGATTTTATGCACATAGTTTTTTGCAGGTGAATAAAATCTGCAAAAAGCTAACAGGGAAAAATTAAGGAAGGTGGGCTGTTGAGATAATTAATATAATACGATTTTTAAGAGGCTTGAAAGTAAAAGAATTTTTTAATAATTAAATTAGGGAAATCATTTTTAAAAGTAATTAAAATTTTTGAGAAATAATTAAAATAATAATAATAATAATTTAAATTTATTTTCCATAATTTAAAAGAAAGACATCTTTTTCATTTATGATCACATGATATTTATGACAATTTATTTAGAGTTTATATAATTAATAATATTTTAAAATATTTAATTACATATTTTTGTTTTGATTATTAAAGAATTAGCTGTAAATTATCAATTCCAAACAATGTAAATTAGCATTTATTAACTTTTCTATCATTTATTCTAAGATTTAAATATTTATTAAATATTTTCTAATATATCTTATAATTTTATTTTTAATTTAGTTAATAAATAAACCCTCTTGAGCACTTAAAATCATTGAAAGACATTTTTCCCCTAACCATGCCCCCAAATAAAGCCATAATCTAATCTTTATTTTTGGTTTATGTTATCGCAACAAGCATCAACATTTTTGGTATACCGCTGGAAAATCGCTGAAAATCCTCGAGAAGAGGAAAATTCACTGGCAAATTAAATTCCCCAGCCTGATCTTGTGAATGATCTTGGGGTATTAATCTCTTCTATCTCAAGCATTTCGCATTTATTTTATTGCCTGTGCGTGTGGGTCTTTTTTTTGCACGTTTGTTTTTATTGGTTTTTCTTTTCATTGGTTTTTCTTTTTGGATTTTCTTTATTTTTGTTTGTTGGTTTGTCGCTGGAAGTTTGTTGTGACGCTTTTGGTATCAGGTTGCCATTAGAGGAGAGTGTGTGTGCTGTGTGTGTGTGTTTGAGACGATCCTGCTGCAAATATTGCTGCAAAGTTGCTGCTGCTGCTGCAACTGATGTAACAAGGTTTAATTTTCCATTTCAGTGAGCGGCTCGCTTTGGAGATTTTACTCTCGTTTTTCATTGTGTGTCGCCCCGGCTTCGGTTTTCCTTTTTAGCCAGGTCTCAGTCTTGGCTTTAGTTGTGGTTTAGTTGCGCTTGATTATGCTTTTGCTTTTAGCCTTTTGCTTGTGCTTTTGACTTGGCTCTTGCTTTTGGTGCTGCTGAAGCGCGACTGCGTCGAATGATTGTCATGATTATGGCAATAATTATGCGGCCAGCATTTAATAATCATGATGCTGCTGCCGCCGCCTGAGCAGCTGCTGATGATGATGACGGTGTTTTATCGCCAGAAAAATGACAAAGTTAATTTCGGGGGGAGGCCACTTTTCCCGATTCCAGCTCTATATAACTATGCTTCAGTTACAGTTACGCCACACACTGGAAGGAATTATATAGTAAAAACTGAAAAATGTTAAAAAGATTTGGTGTATTAAAGGTTTTTCTTAATAGCAATATTTTTTAGTTTAAAGAAAATATTATAAAAATAAAATAAAACATATATTTTTAACATTTTAAAATCTAACTAAAGTGTTTCAAAAATTTATATTAATTTTTAAGGGTTTATATTTTCGTTTTAAAAACCCAAAATCCTTAAAATTATATCATTAAAATCGGAGAAAATATTTTCATTGAATTTTTAATTTTTTTAGGCGTGCTTTAAAGTTCAAAAAACATTGAACTTACTAAATAAATTAGAAAATAAAAATGTATAAGTATTCAGACCATTTTAATTCCAAAAATTTTCCTCCCAGTGCAGGTGCATTTACAGTTTATATTTTTAAAAGTTTTCTATATAATAAAACATGTATTTTTAATATTTTAAAAAATAATTAAAGTGTGGCAACATTTCCTATGAATTTTTTAAACCCAAAATCCTTGAAATATCATAATTAAAATCGAAAAAAATATAATAAAAAATATTTTCTATGAATTTTAATTTTTTTAGGCTTGGTTTTAAGCCCAAAAACCCCAAAACTTATACGAATAAATTAAGAGGTTCTAAAATTTACAAGTTTTAAGACCGTTTTACTTCCCAATTTTCCCCCCAGTGCAGTTACAGTTACAGTTGCAATCTCCCCGCAGAGTGGCAACATTGTCAACGTCCAACGACGACGACGTCTCCTTCGCTGGACACTTTTGCCAATCTGGAGCGGCAGTGGCGTTGCTTTTCCATCGTCGCCATCGCATCCGCGCGTCTCTTTGCCTCTGCCTGTCTGCCTGACTGCGTTTTTCGCGGTTTTACAACTTTGATTTCACTTTTCTTTGCAACATGCGACGCCGCAACTTGTATCTGCATCTGTATCTGTATCTGCTGGCTGTGCATCCGCAGAGCTCTCAGCCCGAATCTGTATCTGCGGTGTGCCGTACCTTCACCGTCCGTTTCTTGAACTGTTTGCTGTTTGCTTCATTGCTCTCGTTGTTGTCGCCGCTAAAACTTTGTTACTCTTTAATTGGTTTTTATATATATTACTTTTTTGGCTTTCGCAGGCGAGGCCTTAATTGTCAACAAATTATAAAAATGATTGCACCTGAAACATCACTCGAATTAGGCCTCTTCTTTTTTTGTTTTTATGTTTTTTTACTCTATATATTTTTCACCTGTTTCCCCTTTTGTTAATACCGTGGCATCAGTGTCAATAAACTTGTCATCAATATATTGAACCAGCTAGGCAAATATTTTACATTTCGAATGGCTAATACGCTTCGCTTTGTTGTTATTAAATAATCATAAATATTTGCAAAAATTATTATGTAAACAAAACCTGTGGGAGCTGTGATGAAACCAAATACAAAATAAAAGCAGGTGTGCCATTTTTATTGAGAGAGAATTTATGTAATTATTGGGGAATTATGTCAAAAAAGAAGGCGGGTTTTATAAATTTTAGGAAGAATCTTTCACTCTTCAAAGAAGAAACCCCCATTTAACCCACAAATATCTTATCTTATTAACATATTTCACACATTTAACCCATTAGAAAAACCATTAAAATGAAAAAACCACCTGTTTGTGGCCCTAAAAAAATGCAGCAATCTTTCTCAACCATTCTGGCAATCTAATTACAATTCAGTAACAATAATTTTCAAACCCCATAAACACCGCAGACAACAACAAACAAAGCCAGCAAATGCGGCTAATTAACTTTATTTTTTTTTTTGGCCAAAAGCCAACAACAAAAGGCAATTTGTTGTCGCCAGAAGATCGCTAAATGATGCAGAAAAATAACAACAAAATAATATAAAGCAACATCAGCGACGACAGCCAGACAACCCACGAAAATGTCTCATGAAAAATTCTGTTCTAGATAGGAGAACAGAGCTCCATAGATCAACGCGCCCACCTGAATGCAGGTTGTCTGTTTAAGCCAAGTTCTTTGGTTGTTTGTTGTTGTTGTTTTTGTTGTTGCTGTTGCTGTTCCTCTTGTTGTTGCTGTTCTCTTGCAGTTGGCAAATATGCAACTCGGTTCACATGGCTTGGCGGAGGAGGCGGGAAACGCTTTAAGGTCTCTTCTTAACGTGCCATCTGCCAAGAGTTGGGTTTGGGTTAATGCACTGCAAGGAAAAGTTGTAAAGAAAATTAGAAAAAGAAAATTTTAAAATATTTTAAGGTGTTTTGTAGATAAACTAATAATTTAAGTAAATAAAAAAGCCTAATTTAAGAACAAACATATTTATTTTATTTATTTTTATATTTAAATTCAAATATAACAGCTTAATACATCAAAAAGAAAATCTATTTATCACAAATATGTATATCACAACGTTAAATTATCGATTTATATATCGATTTTCACATGAAAATAACGATAAAGTATAGAATTGTCGATATATTTTGACACCTTTTATGAGGCTACACTAATTCCATTACTATTTTTATTTTAAATAATTTATTTATTTATTTAAAAAAAAAAAAAAAAAAAAAATTAGAAAATTCATCCGAAAGAAAATTAATTTTAATGCTTCTTACTATTTTATTCTCCCAGTGTAAGCTTCCCCTCCTCAAGCCTTTTTTTTTGTGAAACCCACGCATTTTCCATTTGCCTTGCACGCACCTTTAAGTGAAGCTTGGACGACCTCCACATGAGGTGCTACCGTAACCATACTCCCCCCCCACACACACCCCACACCAACCCCTCTCCTAATGTGTGTGTACTTAGATGTTTGTCTGGCCGTCTGTTTGTCTTACATAATCGTCACTCTAGATACCGTTAAGCATTTTTTTGTTAATTTTCATGACTTCTTTTTCTTGTGTCGCTTTTGTTTCTTTGGGGGCTCTTGTCAGTGGTCTCCTCCAAGTATTTTTCCACCCTAAAACAACAGACAATAGAACAATTGTTTAAACATTTCGGTGGCTTTTGGCATTGCGCTAAAAGAACCACAAAGAGGAAAAAAAACAGAAGTAAAACAGAAAAATTATCCAAAAAAAGATGTTCTTTTGGGTTGGCACTATTATTAGTTTGGTATGCGGACAGGCCCAGTATGACGTAGATGGGAAGTTCCATATAGAATCCATACGCTATACTATATAGACCGATTTGGCACAGCTGCCAAAAGCGTTGAACCCTGTGACGTACCCCAAGAATTGGGTTTTATTTGGCCAAAGTCTGAATGGGTGTGGAATTGGAGGGAAAATATGTTGATTTAGAGGAGCTCCCAACGCACTTGGGAGGTCTTGAAAGTATGTTTATTTTAGTACCAGAAAAACCCAAGTTTAACTAAGAAATAGTTACAAGAATTAGAGGTTCGGAAATACTACTTTTCTTTTTATGAAATTTTTATAAATGTTTAAAATTTATAATTTGAACTTGACTTAAACGATTTTCTTTGCCAATAGGTCTAAGGTACTACCTCTTATTGACCTATAAATAATTTTTTAGAATTAATAAAACACTTTTTAAGCATAAAAACAACCTAAAATAATATTTTACTATTTAAATTAAACTCTAAACTTGTATTTTCTTACTTTTTTCAGGTACATAACAACCTTAAAGTGAAGTCTATCCTCGAATCAGTAACTTCGTTGTCATTACCAGACCCAAAATCCCTACAAACTTAAAACCCTTGAGCCAGAGTACTCAGTCAAGCCGCCAATCAATCCACCAATCAATCAATCAATCACTCAACCAATCGATTGAGAGAACAAGGAAAAATCTGAGGAACAACACAACCCGGTTGCGGCCACGTGAGCGACTTAATGAGAGTTATGAGAGAGAAAGACCACTCACCAAGAAAGATGCTTCCTAGCCCGAAACAGGGCTGCGTATACCCTGCCTTAGGATTAGTGCCCACATCGTATATATCACACGTACCTTATGAGCTGGCCTCCTCGCTGGCGGCCACCACCTCCTCCTCATCCTCGTCGTCTTCGTCCTCGCCCACGACGACAGCGGCGGCGGCGGGGGGCAGGCTCTCCAGCCAGCTGCATCATCAACAGCATCATCACTCCCACAATCACCATCATCATCACCACCAGCTAAGCCACCATGCCAAGGGCAAGCGAAGGAGCAGCTTTGACCAGCCGCTGGACCTGCGATTGGCACACAAAAGGAAGACAGAGCCAACGGGTCCGCTGGAGGATGAGAACAGTAACCTGATTGTGTTCAAGGAGAAGGAGCTCAAGGAGCTGAACAACAACCATATAGCCGCCTCGCTGGCCGATCTGGGCTTCGATATGAGCCGGAAAATGCTGAGGGCGCTGCGCGAGGGAGCACCGCCAGTGGTGCCGGCTGTAGTTCCTTCGGTTGTGCCAGCAACAGGACCAGGTGGGTGTGAAGAAAATAGAGGATTAAATTATATTATTTACCTATTTCTTGTTTTATTTTCCATCTAATTACAGGACCCGCCTCGCTACCCGCCGTTCATCCCACGCTGCTGGAGGCCATGACCAAGAATCTGCCGCTGCAATACCGCAACGTGTTCGCCGGGGTGACCAGTCCGGGAACAGGAGCTTCCACGGGTGCCAGTTCGAGTCCCACCGGTCCGGACTTTCCCTTTCGGCATCCGCTAAAGAAGTGTGAACTCACCTGGCCACCACCCACTGAGCAGCTGCTGCAGGTGCAGGTAGAGCTGCCGCATCCCAACCCGAAGCTAACCCAGCAGCATCCCCAGCTGCAGGACTATCAGACGCGAAGGAAAAACAAGGCCAGAGCTAGTGCCGCTCCAGGAGGAGGAGCTTCTGGAACCACAAACCCAAATCTGCCGCAGCGTAACAAGGATCGGTATACGTGCAAGTTTTGTGGCAAGGTGTTCCCCCGCTCCGCCAATCTCACGCGGCATTTGAGGACTCACACCGGCGAGCAGCCCTACAAGTGCAAATACTGCGAACGTTCCTTCAGCATCTCCTCCAATCTGCAGCGCCATGTCCGAAATATCCACAACAAGGAGCGGCCCTTCAAATGCGAGATCTGTGAGCGCTGCTTTGGCCAGCAGACGAACCTGGACAGGCATCTCAAGAAGCACGAGTCGGATGCGGTGTCGCTGAGCGCTCTGTCCGGGGTGAGCGAGCGGATGCATTGCATACGCCGCTTCTGTGAGAATCCCTCCGAGGAGTCTTACTTCGAGGAGATACGCAGCTTCATGGGCAAGGTCACGCAGCAGCAACAGCAGGAGCGGGAAAGGGATCAAGAGCATGAGCAGGAGAGGGATCAGGAGAGGGATCAAGAGCGGGAGCAGGAGCCTCGTCAGTCAACGGCAACATCGGCAGCCAGTTCGTGTTCCTCGCCCACCTCCTCGCAGGCGGAGGAGCCCACGCCCATGCCTTGTCCCGAGGAGGAGGACTCGCAGCCCATCCAGGAGCTCAAGAAGACGCTGGCCTCTAAGCTATTTCCCCCAAAAGAAGTGGCCGTCAAGGCGGAGGAACTTTAACTACTGAAAATCAGCCAACTTAAACCACCAAGCATCCTAAGCCAGGGCTGAGAGGAGAGTATGAAGAAACCAGAAGAAAGCTGAAGAAACCAGAAGAAATCTGTAGAAACCAGAAGAAAGCTGAAGAAAGCATAACTATGTCTAAAGTCTAGCTGTAAATATCAACCTAAAGCCCAAAACCCTAGAGGTTCTTCTTCCAGCAAAACTGCAAACAACTATGTGTAAATCTAATTGTACAAATCGAAGAATTGGCAGATCCCTAACTATATATATACAGATCTACACATATATATGTGTGAAAATACTTAACTATTATTAGGTGTATGTCTTAAGCATTGGTATTTTTTGTATATATTCTACAAAATGACAAAATGAAACAACAAACCAACAAAACGCGCCCACTGTTTAAATAAAAAGTTACAAGTTTTTGAAATTAACTAAAGGTTTTTATGTAGTTTTATTTGAGTTAATTAATTCTTTATAAATTAAATCCCCCATTAATTTTCTTCAGGCTTAAGGCAGGCATATCCTCTGGAAGACCGATGCAAAATCAAAGAACTATTACCGAAATATCCTTCCATTTCCCTACAATAACTTCCATCGAAATCATTGTCATACACAGCCAACTCCTTGAGGTTATAAAGCTTCTCCGAACGATACTCGAAATTGCACAATTGATTTCCCTGCAGGAACAGGCTCTCCAGATCGTAGGCACCCTCAAAGGTGGCCATGTCAATGCGGTTGAGTCTATTGTAAGACACATCCAGCGAGGTTAGTTGGACACCAAACAGAGGACAGTTCACAGGCAGATCCCATAGACCATTCCGGGACAGATTGAGCTTCTTGAAGGTGGGCCATACACTCTGATGATCTTCGCTCGGAATAAAACGTATAAAATTATTGGACAGATCTACAATTTCTAGGGTTATATAGCGGCGAAGGATTTCGTTAGCCCTAAGCCAAGTCAAGTTGGTGCCCCGCAAGTCGAGTACCTTGAGATGTGGCATCATACTCATGTCGTTGACTTTACTATTGGCCGCCTTGAGCTCGGCCAGCCAGAAGGTGTGCGTAGACTCCACGCCACTGAACTCGAGGTTTAAGGTATATATTTTAAAAGGCAAGCTTAGTTGGCCCCTCATCTCTTGGCAATTGGTTAGGTCGATGAAGTCAATGCTTTTAGGATGTACAAAAATGGCAAACTCCAATTTAGTTAAAGGATTTTCACGCAGATTGAGCTCTATCATCTCAATGTCCCTTGGCAAAAATGTCTCCGAAAGCTGAGAGATTTGATTGCGACTCAGGTCCAGGTATAACAGCTTCTTGAGCGGATGAAAGACCTTCTCGGGCAGCTCTCTAATCAAGTTATCCTGCAGGTTTAACTCCCTGAGGTTGGTCAAGCCCTGGAAGGTTTTATTGGCCAATTGTACGATGTTATTCCTTCTCAAATCCAGCTTTTCCAGCTTGCTTATGTTGGCCAGGATGGGCAGATCCGTGACATTTCCAAGACGTAGCCGCAGGATATCCAGATTTGGAGGTGCTTCCAGGTGAGTTGTACTGAAATTTCCTTCACAATGCAGCACAGTCAGCCACCGGAGACGAGGTGTTAGCAGAACCGTCTTCAGATCGCTATCCTGACAGGAGCTTAGCTCCAGGTGAACGATGTTCGTAGCGGGACTATAGTAATCCAGTTTTCGGTTCTCCAAACTCAATTTGCAGTACAGACCCGAACAAAGACTTCTGAGTGGCGTCCATCCCCAAGTGGGGATTGCGATTAAGATTAGCAAATAAAGAATTTTCATCTTGTTTATTCTGAGATAAGAAAAAGCGTGTTTTTTTAAGAACAACAAACTAGCAAATCAACCGCTGAGAACTAAGTGCGATTCGAAACTGATCTCCCAAAAATTTCAGGCGAATTTCAGCTCACGAATCTAGAAGAGCTTCTCAATGAGATAATCTGTCTTCTGATTAAATAAAAACAACAATTTTATAAGGAATGAAATGAGTTTTAAACTACTAGTTAATGCTTGATTTTGAGCCACATTCAGGGTTCATGCGTGGTAGTTTGTGATACAAATTTCATATACAATATACAAATACAAATTAGAGCATTTTAATTTTAAATTAATTTGAACATATTTATATTAAAATTTGTATTAAACAAAATACATAAATTTAAAGATTTTTGTTTTAAGAAATAATTATACATGTAAAAGTTGTAAGGCCTTAGAGAAAGCACCAACCCGGGTGAATAACTTAAATATAAATTTAGACACAAACCGTGGTGAGTTAGCGGTGACATTTTAACAATTTAATTTAATTTAATTTTAACAATTTAATTATAAATGAAAAAAAATGATATACAAAAATATATAAATTAAAATTGTACTAAAAAAACGAAATAAATATATTTTTTTTCTATCATTATAGAGTGACTTTTAGTGAAATTTAAGTATTTTTGTATTCTTGAATTAAAAAAAGAAATATATATATATATATATATTTAAAAAATATATTAAAGAATATTTAAATATTTAAAAAATAATTTTAGATTACCTATTTTACTTTTAGTATTTTCGCCACTGATTTAGTCAACATTCTTTTTTACATTTCCACAATCAGGTCTTACCACACATGTTTACCATAAAAAAAAACAAAAACAAAAGTTAAGTTTTTAAATACCGAAGCTGGTATACTCTGACACAGTAATAACAAAATATAATAAATTTAAATTATTAAATATATAAAATTATATTATATAAATTCAACTCAAAACTATATTACATAAAACTCAAATAATAAGCACTTTCATTTTTCCCTTAACAAACTTTTCCTTAAAACTAAAATACACCTACTTAGGGCAACTCCTATAGCTTATCAAAAAAAAAAACAAAAAAAAACAGCAACGACGTCATGGAAAGAAAACACTTGCAGTTTCATATTAAGGCTCAGCATGGCAACTGAAGGGCGACTCACAAAAATCACAGATACACGCAATCTGAGGGATCTGCAGAGCCTGTATCTGAAGGATTGGCCCAGGCATTGCGTGGGTTACTACTGGCTGGATAACTATTTGAGATGGCTTGCCAAAGATCCCTACTTAAAACATTTACGTTTTTTAACCCTAGATAATGACTGGCAAAGCGATGGCTTGTTTTTAGTGTTGGTAATTAATGAATAATTTAGTAAATTAATTAGTTTTTAAATATTACATGCTTTCAGCATCGCTATCAACTATTTTTTAGCAACCTGAGCAGACAAGAATCGCATCTAAAGCTGGCTCTGAGCTTGTTAGACTGGTCAGAAGGCTTCAAAGTCAGTGCTATACACGAAATGCATCACAGGATCTACAAGGAGCTGGTGGCAGAGCTTAGCCTGACCATGGATCGTGAAATGAACACCATTATGTATATTCTAAGTTGCGAAAAGGCCCAGAAATTGATTATAGAGTGTCCAAAAGGTTATTTTATGGATAAAGTGAGGCTAGAGCATGCAGAGCTTATAAATAATTTATGGTCAGCCCGACATCCTGGCTCCTTGAAGCTCATAGAAATGTTAATTGAAAATAATAACAATATAGGTTTATATGAAGAAGAAACAGGTTTACTTTGCTCTTGGTGTTTAAGGTGGGTAATTAACAATTTTAAAAATATTTTAATATTTAAATTATATTTTCCAGACTTCAAAGTGGCTTCCTGGGTGCCTTGGAGGTCATTCCCACCCATCAACGTCGCGGCTTGGGCTTGGTAGTTGCTGCTGCTATTTCCAAAGCTATAGCCACCGATCTTCAGCAGGATGTAACGGCCTTAGTAAATATGAATAATGCAGCTGCCTGTCGGTTATTCGAGAAACTGGGCTTTCAGTTAATGTCTGGGGAACACTACTACTGGAGCATGATCCGGCCAAAGGGTGGTGGTCAGATATCTTGGCCCAACAATGAATAATACCTAAGCCAGACGGCAATTAGCCATTTAGAGATAGAGAAAACCAGAGAGATGCAATTGCGTAAAGACCTAGACCTAGACATCCATAAAGCTCACTTGAAGATAATATTTTTTTTTTGTATAAATTGGATCACTTACCGGTTACTAGGGAGCAGTTAGAAAGATGAGTAAACTACAGCAAGTCGCCGGCCTAAAGCAGCTGGAACAACTAAGGAATCTCTACAGCCGAGATTCCAAGTATCTCAAGGAGTTTTACTGCCTGGAAAACTATCTGGAGCTACACAAAAAGGATGCCAAACTGCGGAATGTGAAAGTTTACGTGCTGCCTGAGCTAGAACTGGGATTATTTGTGATTGTGGTAGGAAAATAATTACATTTTTAAGGCATTTATTATATTTTTTAACCTTAAAGGATCGCTATCAGCTCTTTATGGGTTGCCTGGAAAGTGCAGATTCTGAGGAACTTTTAAAGGACTCCCTGTCTCAATTGACTTGGTTTGGTGGCCTTCAGTGTGGCTCAATGCCTCATAGATACTTCAAGGCAGCCACCCAAGTTATTCAGGCCAATAAACTCCGCTTAAAGAATTTAATAACAAATTCTTTGTTTTTAAGCCAAGAAAAGGCTTTGCAGTTTGAAGTAAAGTGAGTTTTAATCAGATTGTTTCTTTTAAATATTAAATTTAACTTTAATATATAATTTAATTTTATTTAGTCCACCAGTTGGCTTCTATCTAAAGAGTCTGAGTGTTAAGGATGCCCAGGTGATCGATGATCATTGGAAATGGAGTGAGCCTGGCAGCCTGTTTTTCATGCAGAGACAAATTGCATACAACATTTGTGTGGGTTTGTATGAAGAGGAAAACGGTGAACTTGTGGCCTGGTGCGTAAGGTAAATAGTTTTATTATATATATTAAATATTAAATATTACATTTTTTAAATTTAATTTATTTTCTAAGCATTTTTAAACTTATTCCAATTTTTTAAATATTTTTTTATTAAGCAAATTTTGCCTACAAAATTTCTACATTTAAATTTTGTTAATCAGTAACTTAAAAAAAATTGTAACATACTTTTTGGAGGTTTTAAAAGTGATTTAAAATCTTTTTATTATGCTCAGTGCTAAAAAATATCATATATTATTTCCAATAATTAAAAAAAATATTGCATTTAACATTAAACTATCGATTTTATTAAATTATATTTTTAAAAAATTCTTTATTAAAATTTTTTTTTTAAATATTTATTTATTTAAAATATATCAAACATTTAAATTTATATATTATTTATAATAAATATATCTAAAATTTAAATTTATTAAAAAAAATTTTTTTTTTTATATTTTCTTAATTATTTCAACAGAGCTCCCGATGGCTTACTGGCAGCTCTTCAGGTCAAGGACTCGCACAAGCGCCGTGGCTTTGGTGTCCTGATAGTAAAGGAATTTTCCAGAAGAGTGGCCCTGCAGGGTCTCGATGTAATGACCGAAGTTGACCAAGATAACCAGGCATCGTCTGCTTTATTCCATAAGATGGGCTTTCAAGTGATCGGTCAGTGTCACTGGCTATTGACGGAAGCCGAAAATGGGAACTTTCAATGGCCCGATGGCGAGTGATAAGATTAAGGGATTGTTTATGAATTTTTAACTGTAAATATATGGGTTGGGTTGTTATTATCAAGAGATTTGAGTTTTTGGGGAAGAAAAGGGTGAAAAAGATAAAAAATAAATATTTTAGTTCAAACAAATAATTTCAAGTGAATAAAAATCAGTAAGAACTAAGTTTTCCCTTGGTTTTTAAATCACTTCCGTGGCTTTTGCGGTTTTCTAATCAAGATATTATATCCAAATCCGTTTAATATCTCTAGTTTCTACTGGAAACCAGATGTTGTGGCCAGATGTTGGCTTTTAAGATTAAGATTAAAGGTTTTGAAAGTGTTAATATTATTTAAAATTATCTTCAGGGCTTGCCATAAAAAGATTATAGTTTTAGCTGCAAGAAACTAATTTTATTAAGAGTAAACCACCCAAGAGAACTCTCTTTAGATTATTTTTCAAGAGAATTTCTAAAAGCTGCTTGGCAAGCTGACTGCTTTAATCAGTCAACCATTTGTTGTTTGCTTCTCGTGCGTAAAGGTTGTTGTTTTCGTTTAATAAAAAAATGAGCGCAAAATTGGAAGCTATTGACTTGTCAGTTTTGCAGAAATTTCAAGAGCTCTTCAAGCAAAATTGGCCGAAATATTGTCAGGAATTTTACTGCCTGGACAACTTTATAGAGTTTCTAAAGAAACAACCAGAAATCAAGAATTTGCAACTTTATACTTTGTCCACAAAGCAGGCCAGAGATGAGGGTCTATTCGTTATAGTGGTGAGTTATCTTTATACTCTATATTCTATATTCTCTGTATTTTTTTATCTGAACCTAAGAGAGCCCATGTATCTGTATCTGCATCTCTTAGGATCGCTATCAGCTGTTTGCAGGGAGTTTGAACAACACAAATGGTCTCTTGGAAACGGCTTTGGACTTATTGGACTGGTCAAAGGGCTTGAAATGTAGTTCTATTCCTTCAAGACATATCGAAGCCTTGGACAAGGTGGTGGCAGCCAAAAAATTGAATTTAGTTTTCAGAGATCCCACGGATTTATTTTATATGAAGGCAGAGGAGGCTCTTCAGCTGAAGGTTGAGTAAGAAGGGAATTTTGATATATATTTTATAAATTTAATTATAATTATATGTTTTTTTATTTAAATATTTTTCCAGACCTCCTGCTGGCTTTGTTTTGAAATCTCTGAGTGTTGAAGATGCTCCTTTGGTGAATGAAGAATGGCCTAATCATCACTTGGGTTCTTTGTATTTTATAGAGCGACAAATCCTCTTGTGTGTCAGTGTGGGACTTTATAATGTTGATACCCAGGAGCTGGTGGCCTGGTGCATAAGGTAAACTCTTTAAAAATTATTAAATTAAGAAGAAAATATATTTATTTTTATATTTTATTTATATATTTTTATTTCCTTAGACTACAAGGCGGCTATTTGGGTGCTCTACAAGTCAAGGACTCACAGAAACGACGAGGATTTGGCAGCCTGGTAACCAGGGAAATCTCCTACCGTCTAGCCTCTCAGGGACATGATGTGATGGCTCTGGTGGGACACTCGAATGCCCCATCTGCGGGCATGTTCCGGAAACTGGGCTTCCAGGTAATCGATCAGTGTCTTTGGCTTAGAACGGAGCCCACCGAAGGAGACTTTGTATGGCCCGAGGGCGAGTAACTCAGAATTAAAGAAGGTTTTTGGCTGATTCTTTTTGTATTGTTAAATGAAAAGCTAAGAAAATAATAATAATAATAATGTTTTCCTAGTCCCACTTTTCTTACTGTGGTGAACGATTTTAGTAAAAAATTCTATGTGTAATTCTTCCTTTTTTTTATAAATTTTACTTCCAACTATATCTTATCCCAGCTCTTAGGCCTTTTGGCAGCCCTCTCCGCAGTCGGAGCCCTCGCAAATGTCACAGAGCGAGGACTGCACCTGGTAGTACTCGGTGGCCCGGCGCTCCGTGTCATAGTAATCGTAAAGGGAGACGGAGGCTGGCTTCTGCTTAGCCACCGGGTGTGCCTTGGAAGCCTCCACGGGCAGGCACCTCACATCTCCGGGCGTCAGGCTGTCAAAGTAGACAACCACCTTAGAGTCCGAGTGTTTGGTCTCCACCCGCTTCACACGGTCCACTGCCTTGATCTTGCCCAGGCTTTCAAGATCTCCCACAAAGCCGGAGGGCAAAGCGATCTCCATGACAGCCATGTTAGAGTCCTTGTCCTTATCGCCATCCTCCAGTGGAATGTACTCGGCACAGATGTCCAGCACCAGCAGCTGGCTGGGCGATTCCTTGACCGTAGGTGTGACCTTAAAGCTGGGCTTCTTCTCCTTCTCGGCCAGGTTGTAGCGGTACGAAAACTGCACCATCGCAGATCCAGAGCCCTTTGCCGTGAAGTCCACCTTGCGAGTGGTTTTGGGCAGCACGTGGGTCTGCAGTATCAGGGCGTTCTCCGAGTTGACAGCGATCTTTTCCTTAGAGCCGCCATCTGGGGAAGCCACAAACTCAATGTCCATGGTGCCGGATCCAGAGCCCGCCTTGGAGGCGAACTTGGTCAGGGCCTGCAGTCCAATCACTGTGTCCTGGGTGGAGGAGAAACCTCCCTTGCTGTTGCGTTGAGAGATCAGCCATTTGATGATGGGCAGGGCCTTCTCCGCGGGTTCCTTCTCGAGCAGGGCGAGCAGCACATAAGAGGTGATCTCCACGTCGTTGCTGCGTGTCTTCCTACTCGTGTCTGGAGTCTTGGACCACCACTTCATGCCGTTCTCACTCCGAGCCACTTCCTGCAACTTGGTTAACACCTTCTCCGCCTGCGGGTGCTTGGCCAGCTGAAGGGCCACGCCGGCAATGGCCAGGGAATACTGGTCCTCCGTCTGGTCCACCTTCTGGGCCACATAGCCAACTGCCTTATCGATGGCACTCTGGTACTTCGAAATCAGTTCCTAGGGAAGAGAAGTCAACGATTAATATGGACTTGGACTGGAGTTGGATTTCCTGAATTACTCACATTGTTTTCGAAAAAGGCCAGCAGGACGTAGGAGGTGAGGGCCAGGGCATTCTGTTTGCTGTTGTCAAAGAGCTTTCCCAGCTCCGGGAACTCGCCGGTCTCCCTCTGCTTCGAGACGAGGAAGTCGAAGCCTGCAGTCACGACCTTGGAATCCACTTGGGTGTAATTCGCTGCCTGGTGGAAGGAGCGCATCACGTAGGCGGTAAGCCAGGTGCTTCCAGCGGAATCCGACTTGCCAAAGGCGCTGTAGGACCCGTCATCGTGCTTGTAGGTCAGCTCCCTCTGGTAACCGATCTCCAGGAACTTCCTGGCCTTGGCCTCAATGGCTGGCATGCTTCGGCCGGTGACCTCCAGATACTTAAGCACCAGTATGTTGGGCACGAAGTTGATCATGTTCTGCTCTCCGCAGCCATAGGGCATGCGCACCAGGTTGTCCAAATTCTGGAGCGTGGGTCCCAGCAGATCTCCCATTACGGAGAACTCAATAAACTCGGATTGAGGCACAGCTTCCGCGGGTATCTCCGCCTCCAGGGACTGCGAGATCTCCGATTGATCCTTCAGGTTGATGAAGATCGCCCGATTCTCAAACTGTGTGACTCCCTCTGGCTCCACCTTCAATTTCTGGTGGATGGTGTCGCCGGCCAACGGCGATGTGGCCGTGATCTTGAGGGTGGTGTATCCCACGTTTTTGGGTCGAATCATGAAGGAGACACTCTGGCCAGTGTTCTCGGGGATTGTGATCCGTTTGACGCGGCGCACCTCGTCGATGGCCCTCTCCAAGACCTCATTGGTGGCCTCGGTGAACTCGTATTCGTGGTCGGAGTTGTCCATTACGACCTCCGCTTCGACGGCCTTGTCCAGATAGTTGAATACCAGCACGGGAACGGCTATCACTTCGCCTGCAATCGAGATTAAATCCAAGTTATGTGGGGTTTTTCCTCCAGACTGGTCTTCAACTCACCTCTCTTGACGGAATACGGCAGGTTGGTGGACACAAAGAACGGCTGGAACACCCGGATCTGGCTGGGGGTCTTGGTCAGGGCAATGCCCGAGGTGGGGTTCAGTGAGAAGCCAGTGACAACCCAAGAAGTAATGGTGTCCGGGACCTTCTTGGTTAAGGTGAAACCCTCTCCGTTCACACTAGGGAATGGGGTGAAGTGGATTAGTTTCTTGAGCAATTTCTTCAAGTGAAAACATTGGACAAAAGAGGGAGTGGGATTAGGTGGGTGTGAAAGGTACAGAGAAACGTCCTTGATGTCAACTTACTCGACGCTATTGGTGAACAGCCAAGTTTCGGGAAACTCTTTACGAACTGGTGGTGGTGGTTTTGATTTCGGCTTTGGGTTGACTCTTGGTACTTGTACTGGATTTACAGATTTCTTAGGCGCAACTAAATAGTCTATTTCATAGTCATCCGGAAACGCTGGCATGACACGGGTCTGGTAATATCTTCTGTTGGGTCTACCCCGATTCCAATTTCTGATGTACCTACATCGTCTCCCGTACCAACTACCAAAGAGCCCATATAGGCAATCTTCTGAGTTCCATTGATCTAGGCAGTACCATGGGAGATATTGAAAGATATATGTATATACAATATAACTTTTCATTCATACTTTTCACTTCAGTTTAAGTTATCAGGAATTCCTAACTGTTCTTTGTCTGTTTAACAAAATTTTTGATCTTACCATCATCATAATTAGCATTGGTTAAAGTCACCAAGCCCGAGGTTTTGCCAGGATATTTTTCGTAACCATACATCTTCGATCTCGACGTCTGGTACTTCTGCTTCAGACCATTGAAGATATTATCTCGACTGAGATCGTTTCCAGACTTGTGAAGCAGGACACTCTGATCCACTCCCAGAAGACCCACAAAGGAGTCGGCATCGGTTTTCACTGTGAGCTTAACCCTTTCACTGGGCCTGGCATTCAGTGGAGCCGAGATATCGATCTGTTGGGTGGGAGGGAGTGCAAAATTAATTTCGTTAGCAAAAAGGAGGTTTTTTAGGATACCTACCGAGTTTATGAACTCCTTTTCGAACTCGATGCTTTGCTCCTCAAAGTGTAGTCTGTTGTTGACGACGTAATGGATATAGATCGTAGCCGTGGGCAACATTTCAAAGGTGGGAGTAAACGTAGCGCTGCGGGTTTTCTGACCCATGGGAACATTTATGTATTGGGTGAGCACAATGTTACCTCTGGCCACAATGGTGAACACGAAGTAGGGAATATAATTAGGCGATTTGACATCGAAGGAAACAACGTGACCCAGGCGAGGACTGAAGTGGGAAATATTAAATTAATATTATTACTACTTTTGGGTTTCCATATCTAATTCCTAGTACATACCTTTTCGTGTTAATCTGAATCCTAAGCTGCTCACTTAAGTTAGAATTGGATCGGTAAAGGCGTTTACTTTCAATTTCAACCCCATCATAAGTGGCATATACAAAGTAAAAATCAGAATTAAACCGGGTCGGGGTAAGAGTAAATGTAGCAATGCCGTTGTCGTTCAGCGGGGCTTCAAAAGTTAAGTGTGGTTTATTATAACGTTTAAAAGCCAAAGTGACATTCTTCGCCGAACCCACCACCGGAGATCCGTCAAATTTCTTTACTGCCACCTGATAGACAAACGGCTTGTATCGTTGAAAGTAATCAGGCTCTTCGAGTACTGTTATCTGATATGGTTTCCTATGGAGGTGTACGGTAGCGGTGCTATTAATTTGCTTCCCAGTCAGTTCCTCGGTTACAGTGGCAAAGATTTTCTCGTAATATTCCAATCTTCTGCTATCAACCTTAAACTCCACATGACCCTTACCATCCAAATCGATAGTCTTCCCTACCTTTGGATGATAATACAAGCTAGTAGGTTCCATCGAAATAGTTGCTTTGCCCTTGACGGGTTTACCATGTGTGTACTTGGCCCTGATTGTGGCCTTCACCACTTCGTCGGCTAACAGCACGTCCTTGGCTGTGTCTATGATCACCTCAAACTTTGGCAGCACGTACTTGTCCACCTCAAAGGTCTTGGTCTCCATGGTATTACCATCCACACTGACGGAGATCTTCCAAGTGCCCAGGACAGGTTGCTCGGACAGTTGGAGCTCCCCGGAATAGACTCCCTTGGTCAACTTGACATCCGTAAATTGCTTGATCCTATTCTGGGCCCCGTCGGTGATCACTACCGATATGGGCTTGTCGATCTGGGCGGGTCGCGTCTTCTCATCGAGGAAGAAAACCCGAAACTGTACTAGATCAGCAGGCTTGTAGGTGGCCTTGTCGGTCTGAACAAATGTCGAGGGCATTCCATCGGCATAATTCAGCTTGGAAGTCTCCCGGAACTCCACTCCGGATACCCCCTGGGCGATCAGCTGGTAGTTTCCAGGAGCCAGTTGCGGCACCTGGAACTCTAGGTTTTTAGTGAACTTCGGAGGGACTTCGATTTCCTTTGTCTCGTTGAAGGAGGGTCCGCTCAGAGTAACCTTAATCTGGCATGAGTTATCTGCCTTGTGAATGGTAACGGCGACATTGTACTTGGAGTTGGAGCGGATGGTGCCTGGACATACTACCGTATAAATGCTGTAATATATTTATTATTATTATTATTATTAATTATTAATTAATTTTTAAATGTTCATGCTATTGAGCTAATTCTATATCCTTTTTTTAGATTGATCTATAATTTTTTATATTCTTCAAAAGAAGAAGGACTCAGGAGCACTAGAAAACTCACCCGTTGGCATTGACTAGCAGAGCCTTCAGCAAGATAACTGCAAACAAAGAGATCCCTATCATGGTGGGGAATCTCAAGAACTGTTCTAAAGTTTATTAATAAATTGTTTATGCACTTTGAAAAACTGATTACAAGACACGACCGATCGTCGGCTAGCGGCGCTCCACAATGAGCTTTACTTGGCTCAAGACGGCCTTAAGTACTATTGAGATGAATCGTTTCGGGGAATTCTTAGCAGATAGATTATATTGAATAATTTCCTCTTTTCATCATAATTTATACGCTTCTATAAACATGTTAAGGACTTACGATTAAAGTGAATTCCCAATAAGCAATATACAATTCCTAGAAATTTCTTATATATGTATGTACATAGCTCGGAAAGTTCTATTCGCAGATGAGAGCTTTATTATTATCATTATCTCAGAATTATTTTTAGTTATTTCTTGCTTAATTGATGTGTATTTATGTGTATTAATGTATTTATGATTAAAATGAGTTAAACTGCATATACAGATTATTTTTTAATTATATTAATTCTATAATATATGTATACATATACATTTTAATGCTTCTTTTTGTATACTAGTTATTTTATATTATTTCAAAGTATTTGGAATTGAAAAATATATTTCTAGAACCTGCAATAATTGAGGTGCTGGTTTGAAAATATTAGACATTTTATTTGTTGTGGTTATGCTGAGAGGTTAAATTTGTTTGGCAGCTATATGATATAGTCTTCCGATCCGGCCCGTTCCGACAAGTATAGCAGTGAGACTATGTAGAAGACTATATGTAAAGTTTCATTCAGATAGCTTTAAAACTAAGGGACTAGATTGCGTAGAAACGGACAGACGGACATGGCTAGATCGACTCGGCTGTTGATGCTGATCAAGAATATATATACTTTATAGGGTCGAAAAGGTCTCCTTCACTGCGTTACAAACTTCTGACTGAATTTATAATACCATGCAAGGACATAAAAATGGCCCAAAAGATATCCCCCCCAAAGTGCGAATGGTATATCTTTGCTTATTTTTAAAAATGGAGATGGTAAAAAGCATGATCCAATCATAGTAGAAGGTAGTCTAGTCGGAAAATTTTAGTCCTTCTAAAATGAGAGAGAGAGTCTCTCGAAACAACATAAGGATGTGTTGATTAACCCGTATGTGGTGTATGGAGCTTAATGTTTTCTTTTATAATAAAACGAGTTGATTTTTTTTTTTATAATTTAATTTGGAAATGAGTCGTTATTTTTGTGTTGACAGTTTTATGTTTAAGTTCTTAATCCTAAAATATATTCTCATCTTAAAATAAAAACTAATATTTACATGTTCGGCTGCTTTTATACATGTTCCTTTCACATTTTTTGTTATTTTAAAAGTGTCATTGACCAAACTTAAAAATGTGACTTGCTAACTTTTAATTTGTTCTTCGAACTGTACAGATGGTTGATGAGCACTCCGTGAGATACTTTATCCACATAAGAGAATGTCCCATTTTTGGCAAACTCATTATATAGCCCGCTATATACTCCAACGCATCCTCTGTTAACTCGTCCCAATTGTGAGCTATTTGGAATAACAATTATAAAATCCTCAGGTTCGTTTTCGTAGTCATTCTGGTCCCTTTTAGAAAAATCAATGTTTAGCCACTTATCCTGCGAAAAAAAAATCATCTTCTACGTTTGCATTTCCGGTTAATTTAATCCGTAGCCAACCTTTCAACACACACTGAAGCAAAACCCGAGTCCTTTGACTGCCGACAGGACTACCTACTATGATGGCATCATGGTATAAAGAGTATTTTTTTGGCAATACCGGACGGTATTATTTGTTCATCGTATTGCGGTCACACTGCCTCCACTTGCAATTACACGTAAACTTAAAAAACTAGCCGGCCACAAAAGCAAACGAAGATAAGTCAAAGATAATGAGATCCCTGGACTGTTGGCCAGCCATGCTGGCATTCCTGGCCGTGGCCACGTCGGCGGACAAGCCGATTCCACCACCCTGTCGCGGATGCAGCCAGCTGGTGGCGTCCTTCAAGGCGGGACTGGAGCGCACAAAGCGCGGCCATGGTGGTGGCGACACGGCCTGGGAGGAGGAGAAGCTGCGCTCCTACAAGACCAGTGAAGTGCGACTGGTGGAGATCCAGGAGAGGCTCTGCTCGGACCCCGAGGTGGTCAACAAGGATCACTGTCACAATCTGGCCAATGAGCATGAATCGCTGCTGGAGGATTGGTTTACACACAGGCAGGCAGAGAGTCCCGATCTGCACGGGTGGCTGTGCATCGAACAGCTGAGTGTCTGCTGCCCGCCGAATACCTTTGGAGCCACCTGCCAGCCCTGCAGTGAATGCAATGGAAATGGTTTGTTTTGCTGCTAATCCGGCTCCTCCTTTCATTAATCTTTGTTTTATTTTCCAGGCAAGTGCAAGGGTGCTGGCACGCGTAAGGGCAATGGCAAGTGCCTGTGCGATGCTGGCTATGCCGGACCCAATTGCAACGAGTGTGGAGCGGAGCACTACGAGTCCTTCCGCGACGAAAGCAAGCTGCTGTGCACCCAGTGCCATGCCGCTTGCGGCGAGGGTGGCTGCACTGGCGGTGGCCCCAAGAGCTGCCGGAAATGCAAGGATGGCTGGAGCATGGACTCGGAGGCAGGCTGTGTGGACATCAACGAATGTTTGGATCAGCAGCGAAGGCCCAACTCCTGCCGGCCTCAGCAGTTTTGTGTGAACAACGAGGGCTCCTTCAGCTGCCTGGAATGTGATAGATCCTGTGATGGCTGCGAAGGCGATGGCCCTGACATGTGCAAAAAGTGTGCCGAGGGCTACAAGCTCAAGGAGGGCAAGTGTCATGGTAAGTAGTGGTAAAGCTTCTACTCTTCCGCTTCTAAAACTCCCTACCATCTATCATCTTGCGTATTAAGACCTCTCCTCGGAGCAACGCGACTCTTATGTGAACTTTACGCGCCTGCTCACCTACTTTGGCATGTGCGTGGCCACCTGCGTCATCTTCCAGAGCTCCACCCACATTGCCTGGGGCTGCATTGTGGGCGCTGCGGTGGCCGTGTACATAGCCGCCTCCGAGTACTGGCTTAACTCGGCGTCTGATGGTGGCGGCGGCGTCAAGCCCGAGATCGACACCAAGCAGCTGGAGGAACTGATTATGAAGTCCCTATAGGCCTAAAGAAATCAAGAGACATTAAGTTTATTCTATGAATAAATAGCACCAGGGATTCGATTGGATTGGCAGTATTCTTCGTTCTAATGGAATTTATGTATATTTCGTTTTGCAGTCAGCAGCAGCAGCGTCGATCTAGAGGCGGAGTCCTCCGAGTCCCTGCATGACCAGGAGGAGCTGTAGATGGCGCACATACGCACACCTTTTGTAGTCAATTTTAGTTTAATATAGATTCTAATATTAACAATTTTGTAATTAAATATGATTTGCCAAAGTTTATAAAGAAAAGTCTATAATTTTTAAATATTTATAAAGGGGAATTGAAGTTAATGCATTTTTGGCAGAGTTTTATACTTTTTAAATTTGGAATTTTATCCAAAAATTTTCAGAAAAATTCAAAATTTTGTCAATATTTTATAAAGACGTACAATGTTTTTTCTTTAAAAAATTAACTTAATTATTTAATAAAATTTCAATTATTCACTCCCAATTTTAATAAAAAATTACGAAAAAATTTAAAAAAAACACACTTTTTTACCTCCACCCATAAAAAATTACACACAATTCAAGGCTCTACCTGTTTCTTATTTGTATCACATTTAGATATTTATTATATTTGGTTTTAAAAATGTACAAATTCGCAAATACAGCCACACATTCAAGTACGAAAGTAACTATTTTAATACAAGTTCTCCTGATGTTTTCGTCGAATACTGCTTGAAGCGTTTAAATAATAAAGGAACTGGCAATAATAATACAAACAAAATATAATATATTATATTATAAATAAAAACAAGGAATCAACAAGCACCACCACCACCCATTTTATATAGTAAAATTAACTAGACAAAAACTTAAGCTACGATCCAAACGTTAACTTGTTTTGGCCAACCAGGTGTAGTCAACACAGCCAGACTTTCCCGTTCCCTAAACACCCTACGATCGCGTCAAATGGCTTTGACTTGTGGTGGACGCCAGACCTATCTCCTCATCCGACTCATCCGAGTCCAGGGGACTCACGCGTATGGCCTGGTACCACTTGTTGGTCAAGTCCAACATCTGGGACTTGCACTCGTGCAGTTCCTGGCTGTTGAACCGCCGCGTAAAGAAGGGTATAAAGTATTTCCGGTCTAGGCGACCAAAGCGATCGCGTGCTTGGGTGAAGGAAACATCCTCCTCCTCGGTGAGCTCGGACAAGTGTTCCGAGTCAATGGCCTGGCCCCATTCGCGGGTCTTTGACAAAGAAATGGACTTGGAGCGCTTACGGCGGGCACCCTCGGCACCCGAGGAAGTCCTTGAGCCGCGTGCCCGGCGTTTCTTGCCCGGCTTGAGGTACTTAAGCAAAGGCATCGTTGAGCCGCCCAAAACCAAAGTGGTAAACAGCACGATTATCAAACTGAAATGAAAGTAATTTAGAATATGGAAGGGGAAATAGCAGACTCTTGTTGCTTACGTGGTTGTTATAATGACGTGTCGCTTCTCCTGACTGTCCAAATTCAAATGCAGCGACAGGGCATAGGAAATGGCACCGCGAAGGCCCGAAAACCACATGATAAACTGCATCTTATTGTTGATTTTATGCTCACGGAATTTGTTGACCAAAAAGGCTAGAGGAAAAATGTTGCAGGCACGTCCTATGAGACACAAAACAATGGCCCAGATTACAAAGGAGAGCTCCACTTGATGTTTGAAAGAGAAAATGGCCAGGCCAAGGTAGGCAAAGACGCAGGTCTCGGCTATAAAGGCTAGGGTTCTCATGGTCTGTTGCATGGTGATTTGAGTGACCTAAAAAAGAAGATTTAAGGAAAGGTTTAACTGATGTTTTTGGTTATATTCCAGCGTTTTTACTCACCGTGGACAGGTTAAAGTGGGTGTAGTGGGACATGACAATGCCACAAAACAGTATGGCCATTATACCTGTTAACAAAAAAAGTCATAACTCAATTCAAAACTCTTAAGAAAGTCCACAACTCACCACTCAAGTGTATTCCCTCAGCCAAAACATAAGGAGCATAGGTAAACATAAGCATCATGGCAAACTCCAAAGACGGATGCTTTCTCAAATCAATGTGCTTTAGCAGTAAAGCCGAAATCAAAGCAAATATCACACCTATACCCGCCGAGGCAAAGAACATGGCACAAAAGGTTTTCAAAGCACTAAACATGGCCTCTCCCGTGCTTGCCTGGGCATTGGCACTCGCCGCCGACTGGGTAATAGAGGCAGTAAGCACAATGGAAATGGCATCATTCAAGATGCTCTCGCCAAACACCAACATGTTGAGTATAGGATCCACGTCCAAGGCATGGAATATGGCCACAGTGGCCACAGGATCCACAGCAGAGATGAGCGAGCCAAAGGCAAAGGATTCCGAGAAACTAAGCCTGAAAAGAGAAGATTGTTATTCAAGACATCAAATAACTCTTTTTTCCACTCACCGAAAAGCCACCTCGGCCAGGCCCAGCAGGTAAATGCCTGCTCCTATAACCAAGGCCGAAATGGTGGTGCCAAAAATGGCAAAAACCAAAATGGAGCCAATGTTTTGGAAAAAGTTTCCCTTGTGCAAATTATACCCCGACTCGAAGATAATCGGTGGCAAGAGCACCAAAAAGAAACCCATGGGCGAGAAGACCTCCTCACGCTTCCAGCTGCCCGTCTGCCCAGACATCACATTGAGCGACAAGCCTATAAAGGCGCCCAGGAACACCACCACTATGCTCTCTGGGAGGTATTGAAAGCCGGTTTGGAGCATGGAGTGAATCAGCAGAATGCCCAGCATAATCACGCAGATGACAAAAAACAGGGACAACGAGGAGTTGTGCTCCTGTTCCACGGCATGCGAGTCAATGAGCGGCGGTTCCGTGGCCACAGTGGAGGCATTGCCTGGCTTTTTGGTGGTACTGCCATTACCTGGAGCTGCCGTGGAGGTGGAAATGGAGACATTCAGCAATGAACTGCTACTGCTGTTAAGTGACGAGGCCACATCTGGCTGGGACTGGGACATTTTCTCAGTTCCTGCAGAGCTGGTGTTACTGGCAGCCACCTTCTTGGATTCCTCCTGGCCACCGCTGGTTTCCGTTGCCAAAGAAACTTGAATCACAAGGCAAAGCACAGCCGCTTGGCAAAATAAACGCAGGCGCCAATTCATTTTGTGCGACGACGACGACGACGCGTCATTTATTTTACACGAAATTCCAACAATTTGTTTTCTTTGCAACAAAAAACAGCTGGTTATCTGACGTTTATCACCCGTTACGGTCCTGCCAACTCGGTCGAATGGCGCCTTTAGTTGAAAAGGAAATAATATTCAAAACGGAAATTGTGCATGTAATAGCGTTTAATTGATTTAATATAGACAAAAACAAGATTATTAATCATCAGATTCAGTGTATAAATCTGTCAAGTCACGCGCTGGCGCTGGGGATCAGCGAGCTGATAGCCTCTGTGCAGAAATTAAGCTGAAAACTGCAAATAATCTTAGTTGAGATGAAGTTTGATTTTTGATCTAGCCAGGAAAAACTAATTATTAATAAAATTTATTTAAACAAACAAATTTTTATGAAAATAAAATGATTTAGGTTGTGAAAAACCTCCAAATCTTCAGAGAGAAAAACCGTTATTTAAGGATTACCCACTTTTTCAGTCTGAATGTCATAATTTCAGGTATAAAATGTTTTTTTTTATTTATAAAGCTAACAAATAATTGAAATAAGAGCTTTTTAATATAATCATTATTTTCTTATTTTATTTAAGTTATTTACCTAGAAAATAGTTCCCCTGACAACAAATCCCATTTCCGTTTTCAGGAACAATGTACGCGCTGTACTTGCACATCTGTTTATATTTTTTTCCAGCCACACGCGAGATCGGGATCGGGATCTTCCCCAGACCTGGCGGGGGGTCAGGTCACACATTATTTCAATGATAATGGGGCCCGTTGTTTTCGGTTATTTTCAGTGGGCATTAGAATTTTTTAAAACAAATCTATATGCACAGAGGAGAGCCAGAGCTGATAGCTTTGATTACCAAGCGCCTTGATCTTGGCAGACCTTGTTTGTCTCCTTAGCTTTTGGCATGACGTGGGCACTTTTTTTTTTTTGATTGCACAGAGGTGGTTCGAAAACCCTAAAAAGTGGTGTTAGGTTTTCCCTGGCCAGTGACCAGCAAAAGGGTCGATCACATCGGGTAGAGTAGAATTTCATTAACAATAGTCATCAATATAGCGTCGCATCGAATTGCGTTCCTCGAACCGTTTTAAAATCCATATTTAAATATATATTAAAAAGAGATAGCGAGACAGAGAGCCAGAGAGAGTGATTACAGATCCCAAAAAGTATATAAATATAGAAATACATTAGTATATAGTTTTCTATTGATAAGAGGTCCCCCCTTGTTTTTTGTCGTATCATCTAGCCAAACAAAAATTTTATAAATTAGCCTTCGCTTTCGCAAGTCAGTCGCAGTCGAACTTTGTTGGAGCAGGAAGCAAGTCGTGAATTTCGAGCGCTCTCCTACCGGATTTTGTGAATCCTTTAAAATTCAAAAATTCAAAGTGAGTAGGAAAAAGGATTTTAAAGCAGGTTGGCAGCGCTGCTGTACCACATGCTGCCAAACAGTGTGACCAGCCAGAGCCTAGTAGATAAAACCCACAGCGGGTGAGGGATTTCTCGGCGGTAGAGGAAAGTTCCATAGCGGCCCCCAAACGTAGAGCTCCAAAATAAACCCCAAAATACGTACGAAGAGAACCTCTGCATAGCTCTTTGCTTGCTCAGCAGTCTCCCCACCCCCGCCTCCATACAACGCGCTCCGAGGTATAAATTGAGAAACTCGTGAAAAGTGTGCGCTCTTTTTCTACAAAACCGTCGCCAAGATAGGACGTGTGTGTTTTGGCTGCGCCGCTGATTTGGTTGCCGTCGCTGAAAAACAGTACAAAAATCAGTAGAATCAGTGTGTACTAAATATATAATTCATTGATTTAAGAACTAAACTCAAGCACAAAAGCAACACTAACTAAGTAACGTAATGTAACGTAAGCGCCGCGTGTGTTATTGCCGTCGTCACCCCCACCCCCCCTGTAACGCAATGCCGTAAACATTGCTCGCCGCTTTTGAAATTGAGTGAAATATTCACTTTTGTTATATAAAAAACTATACACTATTTAAAGAGAAGCGTGCGAAAAAACCGGAAAACACCCGCGACCGCCACGAAGGCGGCGACATGCGAAAAAAAAAGAATATTCATAGTTTGTGTTGTGTATGAGAGAGTTCGGAAAATCAATTTCGTCAAGCGCTTTAGCAATCCTCCTAATCTGTGGCTCGTTCTTACTCCATTTCCCCAACAGCTCCACCTACAGACTCTTGCTACTCCTCCAGCCAGGACCTATAACCAGAAACTAACCAGCAAAAATGCCGCAGAAGACAAATGGACACAGCAGCGCCAATGGCTGCAATGGCAGCAATGGCAACTCCTATGACATGGAGGATGGCCAGACATTCCTCTTCACTTCCGAGTCCGTGGGCGAGGGACACCCAGGTGAGTCTATCTATCTCTTAGCTCTTGCATCCCGGCCATCTCCGATTGCATCATAGCAGCGGGCCTGCATGGCCCCTGCATGTGCGTTATGTATACACACACACACACACATGCACAAGTGTGTTTGAGTGTGTGCAATGTCTGCTGCGTCGCTGTCGGCGTTGTTCCTAACCTAACCGAAGCGCTTCTCCAGCGCCCGTGGCCTGTGGCCCCTGTGTATGTGCCTGCTCTTTACCTTCCAGTGACTGTCTGTCTTTCTACTAAAATCTAACAAAATGGCGGCAGAACCTTAACCAGAAGCCAAACCCAAACCCCTTGATAGCATCCCAATTTGCGCTTCTTTGTATTGAAAACTGGTAGCGAAAAAACGTGCTTGTTTACTCAGCAGGGTCGCCGCTCTTCCAAAGCTTCCAGGGCTTCCAAGGCAGATCACATCTTAGAGTAAAGAGTTGACCAGGGTTTTCTCTGTGCATCCTTTGCCGGCTTAGCCTGGGCCTCTAGAAAACAGCTGGCTGGGTCACTCTCCGCCTTGGACACACACCGCACACACAGAGACAACAGCTGCGGTGGCGGTGGTGCCAAAACCTTGCCGACGCAATTTATAGACTGGTTCTTTATCGCGCTGCCTCTCCCGCAGTCGCGGAATTTGCGTCATGCGCACCATGTGCTTCTTTGAAACTGGCGAGACTGGGGGAACTGTGGAACTAAGAGATTCAAAGAGAGCACTAAAATACATCGTAGCATGCTCTCCTCTCTTTGGCACTTGCTTTTCGCAGAAAGACGATCAAAACAAGGGCCCAAACAACTAAAACAAAGCCACCACATTGCCCCTCAGTCCTAACCTAGGGAGCCCTCTCACTACTCCTCCCTCTTCCTCTCACTATTACTCCCTCTTTCTCTCACTACTCCTCCCTCTTCCTCCCACCTCCTCTTCCCTCCTCCTTTCGACCCCAGCTTTTTTTTCCGAGCTTATCTTTCAAGCGAAATTCCCAACCACGTGTTCTGTTTCGAGCTGTTAGCTCCGAGCTTTGCCGCTCCTCGTTTGTTTATATCAGCGAACGAACAGCGCAGCGCGTATATTTGACTTCATCATCTGCTGATAAGGGAGAGCGACCTTTTATACATCGGATTGATTACTTTTACCATTACGTTTTCTATATTCCTATAGTTGTATGGTTTATAACGCTAATTAAGTTAGCCCTAGACAAGCACAGAGAACGCATGATTACTGATAAGCCACGAAAGCCACCCGAAAACTACTTCCGGATGTGACTAGCTTTAATTTCACCTGTCTTGGCATGATGAATATGAGTGACAGTGGCGGAAAGGGGCAGGAAATGGGGAGTTAGTAGATGAGAAATTAGACTAGAGCTAGTGGAATTTTTATTCTTATTCGTTTGTATGCAAGGGAAATCCTCAGGAAATTAGGAAAAAAATATATATAAATATAAATAATATATTAGTGAAATATTTATAAATATAAATAAAATATTAAGTATACATACTAATAATACTTTAGAAAATCTTCCCAGAATTTTTATATTACTCAGAAAAAATAGAAAAAAAAAAATTTCTCAGGGGGGAAAAAATTATATTACTTAAGGGAAAAAAAAAAAAAAAAAAAAAACTATATTTCTCAGGGGGAAAAAAATATTACTTAGTAAAAAAAAATATATATATTTATAATAAGTTACTTTCTAATAATATGGATTTTCTATTTTATCAAATCTTCTCAGAGTGAAAGAAATAGTTAAATAAAAAAAAAACCAATGAATTCTTTATGGAACAAATACCCCATGCTGAATCCACCATGTATCCCTAAGGTCAAACCCCATTTACACATTGAATACTCCACACCCAATGAAACAAAGTCCGACTGGGCTCCCTTTTTAATTTCCCTAAAACCAAGCCAAAAACTTGACCTATAACCAAAAATCTACGATTACACCCTGTGGAAATTGAGACGCGCTGCGCCATTTGAATGAGTCAACACTTTTTGTCCAGAGTGTCGCCAAAATCATTTCTTATATGGTAATCCATAGCTGCTGACGCAATATACGAGTTCAATAACGCTTGTTTTTCCACTGAAAAACCTGCCAAAAGTCCAAAGAGTTCACATTTCGCCATGCGACTGGTGTCAAGTCCGAGTCTGAAATCAAAGGATCCCAACCCAGGCGAGCTCTTCCATCATATATAATTGTTGTTTGCACAGGCTCGTGTTCCCAGTGAGTTATAGACATAAAAGTGGCATTGAATTTCGCTGTCAATCGCAGAGACTGAAATTTAAAATAAACTGCATGGCCCGGCAATTTTCGTTTTGTTGGGAGGGGACCAAGAGCAACACTACATACAATTTCTGGCGCACTACAAGGAGCATTCTCTTACACGCTCTCTCCCTTTTTTTCTATTTGCAGACAAAATGTGCGACCAAATCAGCGACGCTATCTTGGATGCCCATCTGAAGCAGGATCCCAATGCCAAGGTGGCCTGCGGTAAGTGTCTAAGCCTCAGGCTCAGAGAAACCCACACAAACCCCAGGCTAGTGACCTCTCAAAATCGGTTTTTGATAGTAGCCACAGCGGCAGTAGATCAAAAAGGCGCCGCACGAGTCTCCCAAACAGAGACAGACCATCAAGAAAATAAACTCATTCATAAAGTAAACATTGGCGCAGCCATCGACGCGTGTGCAAAGCCCCCTAAGACGATAGCCTGGACAAATAAACAAAGTCCAAAGTCAAAGCCGAAAGTCTAGAGATGGGTTTTGTGTTCTGTGGAGGGTTTGAACGATTTTCCTTTAAATTTAACACAAATTTTAAATGTTTTTCTTTAACCAGAAACCGTTGCCAAGACCGGCATGATCCTGCTTTGCGGTGAGATCACATCAAAGGCCGTTGTGGACTACCAGCGAGTTGTCCGAGACACTGTCCAGCACATTGGCTACGATGACTCCTCCAAGGGTAAGTTTTTAAGATCAAAATCTAGGCTTAAGAACGTCTTTGTGGGAGGGTTAAAGGATCTTAAACCTTTAAACACAATATATTTATATTAAATCACAACAAAAATCAAATCAAAATTGACAAAAAGGTTTCGATTGGAAGACCCTAAACCTGCTGGTTGCCATCGAACAGCAGTCACCCGATATTGCCAACGGTGTGCACATCAATCGCGAAGAGGACGACGTCGGCGCTGGTGACCAGGTACAGCTCCGTTTTCCTACTACCCACCGAGAGTGTGTGTGTGTTCGTTCGTTCGTTACGTTTCTCCATTTGTTGTTCAGTGTTTCATTGAAAAAGCGGTTAAATCATAACTATTTTCATACCCACAACTATTTTAACCTCGAAAAAAGAACAAAAGAAAACACTAAAAAGGAAGTATGAGGTCTCGGAGGCATCAAAATCATTGCAACCTTAGCATTTTGAACTCCTCTGGGGTTCGCTCTAACCTCATAAAAGGCATATAACCCATAAACGGATTCAGTTAAAACTTTTTCAGATGGGTTTACTAGAGTTTAAGCAACAGCACATCTTGCATGCGGAAAGAAGACAAAGATGCAGCCAAAAACCCTGCCACATCCTTAATTTCCACTTGAAAAAAGATATATATATAATTATAAGCTATAGTTTAAAGGGTGAATTTAAACATTTTTGTTAAACATTACTTACAGACATATTTTCCTGTGCGTGTGTGCGCTCCTTTCTTTTATCTTTCTCTCTCTCGTTTCATAAACACGATACCAAATACGATATTTTGTACGATTATTTTGCTATTTTGCAAACCGATAACACCCCATAAAAAAGGTTTCGATTTCAAAACGTGCAACGTGCTCTTGGCATTGGACCAACAATCGCCCGAAATTGCGGCCGGAGTGCATGTCAATCGCGCCGATGAAGAGATCGGTGCCGGAGATCAGGTGTGAAATTATATAGCAGCAGCAGGGCGGCCCTTACAAGGCCCTTTCCAAAAGAGAGCAAAAGATCATTTGAAAATATTGATATTTATTCCAAACTCAAATTCATGGTGGTGGGACGTAGCTTAAGCTCTTTTGGAGGGGGTCTCCCAACGCCACTTTTGTACAATTTCTGTGTTCCTATTTGTTTTTTTTATATTATTATCTATGCGTAACTAATCGAAAAAAAGAGTATATAAGATAATTTATTGCTAATACCTATTATTGAAATCATTTGTAGTATCCTTTAGATTATACACTATATCACACACATGTAGCAAAGCACTTTATAGCCTTGATTGTTATTTGAAAACCATTCCCAATGCCTGCTTTATGCTTTTCTTTTTTTAACCAGGCTTGTTTTGAATAACCAAGGCTTACTTTACTGCATTTTCATTCCATAAAAAACCTAATTTTAAAACCTTTTCCTTTGGTAACTCATCTTAACTCTACACTCTACACCTCATAAGCCTGTTTCATCTTTGACTTTTCTAACCCAAAAATGTCTTTTACTAACTCATAACTAATCACCAGTAGAGGAGTGGCGAAAAATATCGATATATAAAGTTAATATATCGATACTTGTTGCAAAAAGTCGATATATAAATCGAAATTTTAAGCAATTTTGGTTTAAAAAAGGAAGAAAATATAGAAAATTACAAACTTCGATAACTTACTATATCAAACTGTAAAATTTTTGATCTATAATATCGCACTTTTCCCCTCGATATACATACATCCCCACTCACCACTCTGTTTGGTTTTGGTTCTTTCTGTTTTGTAAATCCATAATTATATATCCTTTAATTAACTAAAAAAATATATATAATATTTTTCAGGGCATCATGTTTGGCTATGCTACCGATGAGACCGAGGAGTGCATGCCCCTCACCGTCGTTCTGGCCCACAAGCTAAACGAGAAGATCGCCGAACTGCGTCGCTCCGATGTCTTCTGGTGGGCTCGCCCCGATTCCAAGACCCAGGTCACTTGCGAATACCTCTTCAATCAGGGCTCGGCCGTGCCCAAGCGCGTTCATACCATTGTTGTGTCCATGCAGCACTCGGAGAAGATATCGCTGGAGACCCTGCGCTCTGAGGTGATGGAGAAGGTAGTCAAAGTCGTCATTCCCGCCAAATACATTGATGCCAACACCATTGTCCACATCAATCCGTGCGGACTCTTTGTCATCGGTGGCCCCATGGGCGATGCTGGTCTAACGGGCCGCAAGATTATCGTTGATACCTATGGAGGCTGGGGTGCCCATGGTGGTGGTGCCTTCTCGGGCAAGGATTTCACAAAGGTCGACCGATCGGCGGCCTATGCCGCACGCTGGGTGGCCAAGTCGCTGGTCAAGGCCGGTCTGTGCAAGCGTTGCTTGGTCCAGGTTTCATATGCCATTGGACTGGCCGAGCCGCTGTCCATCACTGTCTTTGACTATGGCACTTCCCACAAGACGCAAAAGGAGCTGCTGGAGATAATCCGGCGCAACTTTGACCTTAGGCCCGGCAAGATTGTCAAGTGAGTTGGGAAAGGAATATCAAAAAGCTTGGTTTTTTATTAATTTTTATGTGTATTTTTTTTAGGGACTTGAACCTCCGCCAGCCCATATACCAGCGTACCAGCACATATGGCCACTTTGGACGCGAAGGCTTCTCGTGGGAGGAGGCCAAGCATTTGGAGATCAATTGACTAGACGCCGACGAGTCACCGTGTGCTAAAAGGTTGAAGACATCGTCATCATCATCATCCGCGTCAACAACAACAGAAACAACAGAAGCAACCGCAGCTGCAACGTAATTTTTAATTTCGTGTTTACTTTTTTTAAGTTGCAAACAGCGGTTTGAGCTCTTTGCTATCCTTAAAACCAATCTGATGTAGTTGTAGTCGTCATCCCCCACACGCATATATATACTTAATAGAGAGCTGATGAGCTTTAGTTTTACATATACATAGTATAGATTCGTCGCGTCGCTCACACAAAAAGCAAAAACCAAGTAGTTAGCCCCTTGAAAAGAAAAGAAAGAAACCCCTTGAAATTGTATAAAAAAATAAGAAATCCGTTGCCTAGAAATTATGCACACCATTCTCATGCTTAATTGTACACATATTTTTGTATCTTTTACTATATATCTGCCTTTATGTTGTCGATTGTGTGCGTTGTATATGTATATGTTAAACACAAAAGTTTTTAAACAACTCGATTGTATGTATATTACACACTATTACTATGCTATATATACTGTCTTTGTATGTTCTGTAGCCAACCAACCATAAGATAATGTATTTTCCTTTACAAAAATATATTACAAATACAGATTGAGGAGTTTTTGTAATAATTATCCAAAAACAAAGCAAAAACGGGGCATTTTAATTGTACAAAAAAATAAGAAAGCATGCAGTCAGTCTGTTTTGCAATATTAACAGAGAACGTTAACAATTAACCAGTTCGAACAGCAGCTGCCCCCTTAATAATAGTTTAATCCGATATATTTATTTACGTGTGTATTGTACAAGACAAGCAAACTTTCACATGACAATGATCATTGCAATAAACCTAATCGACAGTTTACATTTAAAGAAATTTACAGAGTGGTTTATTGTAAGGGTTTTAAAGGGGGGTGAGTTAGATATATTGCATTTTTAGATATATAAAATAATCACATTTAACGTTGGAATATCGATATCATTGAAAAATATCAGAAAAATTGAACAGCGGAGTTCACATGAAAATGTTGCTGGGTAAATGTTGGCAGAAACATGTTGAGCAACACCCATTAAAGCTGGCAACACAGCGATGTTGCTCGGTTTCAGCAAGAGTAACAACTTTATTAAGTTTTTCGCTAAAAGGATGTATTTTACTGTGCTTCACATCCCAAAAGGTCAAGTAATTTTTTTGGAAAAAGCCTTTTTTATCATAAATCAAACTTCTCACCCTCTAGGTGCCCTTCGTCACTAGGCAAAATTTGATAAACATTAAAAAAAAAACGTCAACGCGCTTCTAAAGTATAAAAGTTAGTCTACTTTAGGGGCTTAGGTCTTATCTGTAAGCATAACATATAGCTAAATGATTTCAGAATGGATTTAAGAGGTGTAACCGACTAAAATTATAATACCCTACCAGGGTATAAAAAGATTTAAGCTCTATAAGCCTCTGGGGGGAGAGGTTACCTGGCGTAACGAACACGTGTTTCTTTGTTTGAAAATGTGCCTTGAAGTTTATAATATTTTTAATTCTTGTTAAAAAGCACTTATCTTGGAAGGGCTTTCGGATGAACCTTATCATTCTAATTTATTATCTCCCAAAGGGCTTATCCCTTCACTATAAAAAGATTTTAGTTTCAGAGAAATCATTTAGTAATTGCAAAATGCATCTGCAGTACAGAGCTCTGTTGGGTCTCCTGGGCCTAGTTTTATTCTGTGGAGCAAGTTCTAATGCCCAGCCAGCTGAGCCAGGTTAGAAAGTACATATATCTTATATATAAAATTCAACCTAATATTTATAATTTGCTTTCAGTTGCCGCCAGATTGGTGGGCATAAGCCCCACTAGCCTGATATTTATCAAGGACACGTACTACTACATTGAGTCCTCGGCCCAAAAGAACTGGTTTAATGCCCTCGTAGCCTGCCAGCAAATCGGCTACGAATTGGTCTCCCTGCAAAACGAAGAAAAGTTCAACATATTGGTTAATTTTCTCATCTCTTCGCGGAAAAAACTATATTATTGGACTTCAGGAAATGATCTCTACACTTTGGGAAAACATCATTGGTATCCCGGTAACGAGACGGTCTCAGCCAGCCTTTGGGGACCTAAGCAACCGGACAATTTGGGTGGAGTGCAGCACTGCGATGCACTATGGAAGAAGAGTAATAGTTACGTCTTGAAGGACGACAACTGCAATTTGGCTAGATACTACATTTGTGAGCTGGTTATTCCTTCTGCTACTACTGCTGCTCCTGCTACTTCGGAGCCTACTACTCCTGCTTCAACTTCTTCATTATCTACTTCGGCTCCTGAATCTTCTTCATCTACTTCTGCTCCTGAATCTTCATCATCTACTTCTGCTCCTGAATCTTCATCATCTACTTCGGCTCCGGAATCTTCTTCATCTACTTCTGCTCCTGAATCTTCTTCATCTACTTCTGCTCCGGAATCTTCTTCATCTACTTCTGCTCCTGAATCTTCATCATCTACTTCTGCTCCGGAATCTTCTTCATCTACTTCTGCTCCTGAATCTTCATCATCTACTTCGGCTCCTAAATCTTCTTCATCTACTGCTGCTCCTTAAAAATAACTTAACTATTTCAATACCAACGTTTTATTCAGTTTATTCTTGAAACCTAACTAAACTTGTATTTTATTTACTTAATAAATATTAATAAATAATTTTTGCTTCAAAATGAAAAAATATTACCCAGTCAAGTGATCTTATTAACCTTTGCAATCTGCAAATAATAACACCTCTCCGATTTTTCTTATACAAATATATTTATAAACATATAGTATCACTCGCAAATATTTGAGTCAATCAAATAGTCTTACTTTTAAAATATTTGTAATATGGCTTATTCGGTGATTTAGACTGAACCCTCTCAAAACTAACTAGCTACACAAGTTCCCCCCACCGGAACCCCACACTCCCCTCCCCCTTCTAATAATTATATGATGTAAAATTAAAATATTTAGTTAAAAGCTGCAGGACATAGGCCACAATGGGATTAGCCCCCGACTTTTTCAGCCGCTGTCTTATCATTATATAAGCTGCAATGGTAAACAGCAAATAAAAACCAATCAGGCAGGAGAGCGACCACACATAGTGCATGTCCTCGAAGCCCAAGAAGGCCAGCAAGACCTTGGACTTCTTGAAGGAGCAAAAGATCTCCGTGTCCTCGCAAATAGTATCCGCACGTCCATAATCATAAAGAGCGGCCACAAGACCCTCCATGCCATGCCGAAGGTAGCTGAGGTGCATGAGGAACCTCATCAGAGGCGATACATAGCTACCCCTGCCATAGCCTATGCCGTGGATGGAGAGCAGGATCAGGGGAACAGCCAGCACAGGGCCCATGAACATGGCATTCTGGAGGAAAAAAGGAATGGTTAGAGGTAACTTGGTAAAGAATAGAGACTCCTACTTACCACCAGACTCAGTCTACTGGAGATCAACAGGCCAAAACTATCGGAAGTCAGGGCTGTAACAAAGGCAATCATGAAGAGCAGGGCAAAGCGAAACAACTCCAGCGGCTGGCTGGACATTAAGTACACAATAGAGAGATATATAACGGCCAGGACGAACATGGAGGGCAGCTTGGAGCAGACCATGGCGGCATAGTAAGAGCTCAGGCGATACCACTGGTTGTTGTACTCCCTTTTCAAGAGATTGATTTCCGAGGGAACTAAGAAAGAGAATTCTGCTAGATTAAGGTATCAAGATCCTCAAGGATTTTCAACTCACAGTACAGCAACACTGGCATCATGGGCAGGTACAGGTAAGCTATCACAATGGTAAACATAAATCCAAAGTTAAACAAAGCCTTGGAGGCCGATGTGCCCATGCCAAAGTACAATGAACCCACCAGCAAGGCCAAAACTATGTTCATATAGAACTTTAGCTTGATGTAAGACTGGAAATAATATAAAATTAATGGTAACTCTTCACCAAATCCCCCACTCACCTTATCCCTCCACATCTGGAGCAGCATCCTGCTCAGCAAAAGCTTGTACTGCATCCACCAGCTGCACTTGGCCTGCAGTAACTTGGGACTGATTTCCTCCTCAAACTGTTCCATTTCGTAAAAGGAGGAAGCCCCCGAAGTGGTGTCCGTTTTGGTGGGCGTCACCTTGCCATCCTCTGCCGCTGTTGGAACCCAACGTGTCACCTTGCCATTGCCCACTGCAGCCACCATAAGTTCATGATAAGAGTCACCATACTCCATGCAAGCCACTTCTATGATAAAGTCTGCTGGGTTGTAGGTGATGGGACAACTTAGGCCCAGTTGCTCCATATAAGGCACAATATTGGATCCACTGCCCTGGTAAATGCACTGACCCTCAGCCAGGACATAGACAGCGTCCAGCATCTCAAAGATCTTGGCGGAGGGTGTATGTATAGAGCAGATAACAGTGCGTCCGCCGGCGGCCAGGGATTTCAAGAGGGAAATGCACTGAGAGCTGGAGAGGTCATCGAGGCCTCTAAGGGATTAGGGTGTTGAGAACTTAGTTAATATATATATAGATATTATAGTGGAGAACCACTCACGTCGTGGGTTCATCTAGAAAGATCACAGGCGGGTTGTTGACCAACTCAAGGGCTATGCACAGACGCTTGCGTTCCCCCCCAGACAGTTTGGGTGTCATGGTGTCCTTGGAGGCCTTAAGGCGCAGCATGACCAGGATTTCATCTATCTAAAAGAGGGTTTTAGGAGGTAATTACTAGACCATATGATAATATAGTGTATATAAGACAGAACTTACCACTTCCAGCTTTTGCCTTAGATTAAGTTCATTACCCAACTTGAGGTGGGCGGCCAGTAGCATCATTTCGAGGACCGTAAACTGAGGGTCCAGGACATCTGTCTGTAGATGAAGGATACATAAATATAGGATGCAAGATATAGTCAGAGGAAGGTTAAGCCTACCTGCATTATGTATCTAGACATTTTGCGAAACACTCGCATATCCCTGGGATTCTGGTTGACCAAAACCTCCCCCGAGGTACTAGTGGCGCTAAAAATGTCGATTAATGAGTTATAATTTCAGTTGATTATTTTTTGTTTAGCTCTACGTCTTACCCAAATCCCGCCAGCAGGTTTAGCAACGTTGTCTTACCAGCCCCCGAGGGTCCCATAATTGCGGTGAGCTCATGAGAGTGGAACTCCCCATTGACTCCTCTTAGTATGGATTTTTTCTGTGAGGCTGCAGGAACAAAACCAAGAGTGAGAGATTGAAACTCAGGTGAGTCAGCTTAGAACTATTATCTATTGGCATGCATTTGATCGCTGCGTTGGTATAAAATTAAGGCGGATAATTGCCTCTTAAAATGTGCATTTTCAGCTGGGAAAATAATCTAGGTAATTACTTCGGCATCCAACATTCAATTATCATTCCTAATAACCCCATTATCCAAACACGAATATTAAATAACCCAACTGAATAACTTGAAAAACTCACCCTGCAGCTGATCTGGAACCTCATAGCTCAATTCCGTAAACTGCAAGTTGACTGCTGGCCAGGATGGCAAGTACTTCAAACCATTGATCGACTGAAAGTCCTCCGAGTGTTCAGGCAGCTCCAAACTTATGCCATTGATGTCACTGCTGTACTGATCGGAGCTGTGCTGGGAGTTGCTAGTAGTGTGCATCTTGGTCATCTTACTCCTTACTTTCTTTATTTTATTTTTGGTTATCAACTCATCTCATCTATAGATATTTTTTTGTTTAGAAAAAGTTATACATTTAATACAATTATTGTTTAAAAATTGTCTAAATTGTAGAGCTCGGATTAATGATAACCTTTCGCTGGATGTTTTGAAGCTTAATGTTCGAGTCGCTTACTCGTAGCTTTGATTATATTTCAAACAGCTATCTGTACGATGGGAACCAATTAGTAATCGGATACAAAAATTAATTTTCGGTTAGCCATAAACCAGTTTGCAAAAAAATTTAAACTTGAAGCGGGTTTAATTATATTTTATCAGCGCAGCTTAAAATTCTTATTTACACCTAGGGAGCCTTCCTATTGTTCTGAAAGCGAAATTCGCACTGAGCAAAGACCTTTTTTTTTAAATGTAATTCATTTCTACGAGCACGAGCGGTTGCTGCCCGAAAAATAAACTCAGATTTTCAATTGACGGAGGGCAGTACGTACTCGACCGACTGCCTGCCCGAGTTCTGACCGAATGGCTGAGGCGGGCTGTGCGATTGATACTCGTCAGTGTTGGGGGCAGCGTGAGTAATCTCTGGCTTGAAATTTCGCCACAATCGCTACTTAAAAGTTGCACTGGCTGCCGTCTCTGTGATAGTCTTATCAGTGAGTCTTGGGTTTTCAAAGCGGAAGCTTGTAAAGAGGGAGATTCGAGAAGCTAGCTTAAAAGCCGGCTTCGTGCTTAGATGTGGCCCACAGAGCGTATGCGCAATATGGATGATAGTTCTTAGGAACTTTTTATCTTTGATATATATTTGAAGAGCTATTTGTGGTACCCTTTATCTGGAGTAGGGTATGATGAAATTTTTAAGTTAATTTAAATTGTTTTTAATTTTATTTAAAGTTGTGGTTGTAAAAACTAGGGTATTGCTTGCCTTGAACAAGGCTGGATCTACTAGTCTAGTGATTCTCATAAAACTTCCTTTACAGAGGAACTTTTAAGAAGAGGAAAACTCAGATATGATATATCTACAGAATATAGCTCTTAATTTCTCATCGGTAAATCAGTATTTTCCAAAATTTTAACATTATTTTCTATTTAAATTGAAAGATAACATATATACCCTATATTTTTTTCTTTCTTATAAATAGAATCTGTGCTATGGGGCTAAGTACACCTTCCGATAGTGTCTGACACACTATACCCTCTATTTACCAGATCTTCTCTTGACTTTAACAGATAACATGCTCCACATAATACCCTAGGCCTGGGCACATAAATATAAAATATAAACACAAAGCGAAAGCATTTATCGCCAACGTCTGAATACAAATGAAAATCGCGCAAGTAGCTGGGAATCGTGTGCGTGACCATTGGCCTCCCACTTATGTGTCTACCGTGTAAACAAATCCCGAGTGGAGAAGCTTGGGCTACATTTAGTAGAGTGTCTTCTTTAGTTTACAGGGTATAGTAGAACCGACTAACCGCCAGGCTCTTTGTGTCTTTCGATGATGTGTGAGTAATGGCGCATGCAAATGCATTGAAGCGGCGAATGTTGACCTTTGTTTTTTTGTAAAATCCCTACATTGTACGATGATTAATAAACATATAGGAGATACATGTATCTATGAAGCACCGCAGCCTAATTATATATGTATATTCCCGCCAGGCACTCGTGAGTTTATCAGGGCATGCATGACGAAGAGTCGGCGTTATTTTGTAAACAAAGCAGATGCCAGTGACAGGTTCGCATGGGTGTTATTATTATGCCAGAATGACTGGTAAAAATCCACCATAAACAGTTCATAGTTCACACTGTTATCCGAGTTATCCGAGGGCTGCAACCGATCGACACATAGAACTTGATAAGCACTTAATCATATAAACCAGAAATTGATTAAATAATTAAGAATGCCCCAGGGAATGGTAAACAAGTGACCGCCAGTTATTCCGCTCCCCGACTTTCAGGTTCAACGAACGCGCCTAGATATGGCTTTGCGAGTGCAGCAATGCCATTGCCTGTGGGAGGGTGGAACAAGCGGTAGCTCCGCCGCTGCACTTACTCCACTTTCTATTCGTAGCTACTGGCTCTCCACCACTCTCTCTCTCTCTCTCACGGAGAGTCGGCAACCACAACCACGACGCAGAGGAGGCGACTTGTTGCACCGACAACGGCCGAAAAAGTACTGAAAGCGAGCACACAGGAAGAACCAGCGAGTGAGTGGCTGGCGAAGCTCAGTTCCCCGAAGAACACTTCTGCCCTTCAGCTAGAGGAGATCGTGGGGCTATAAAAACGAGTTTAGCAGGCTTTAAGCAGGATATGAAAGTCTATTTATAGAGGCTGTCAAGGAATGGATATGCCGCCTGACCTACCTCAATTCCTTGTCCCCTGGAAAGGTCTCTCAAATGTGAGTGCAAAAAAATGCCTTGAAAATTGAAAAATCATTCCCTAAAGAGCTTGCAAAATAACAATTGCTGCCTATTAAAAAAATACAGAAAAAATTTCTAACATATTCGAGACGAAATTGCAACTCATTGCAACAGCCGGCACAGAACGCATGGCACAAAAAAATTAAAAGTTACTCAACGCCGCAGAAACCTGGACTCTGGCTGGTTAATTTGACAGACCGAGCAGTCGAAACCAATCTCCATCCGTTGTTCCTAGTCTCGTGAGGGGCGAGTGACCACCGGCTGTAATTGGGAGCTTTAATGTGAGGCACGTACTATGCCAGTTTAATTGCCGCTTTGAAAAAAAAAAACCTTATAACTTGCTGGCCTTTCGGGTTCACAATTCAAACTGGTAACGGTTGCACAAAAGCGCTAGCACACGCCAGCAGAGGGCGTTGTAAGCAGCTTTTTACACTGGGAGAAACGGGTTGTGGATTTTGAGTATAGAAAAATGTTTTGCAACATTTTAAAAATGATTCAAATGATTAAAAATTATTACTTATAATGGAATTTGATATTTATTTAATAAAACTTAAGGTAAAACCTTGCAAAAAACTTCTTCAATTGATATTTAAGCTTATTGGACTAAGCTTTGATTTTTCTAAATTTAATTTATCCCAAAAAAATTATTTTATAACAAGAAAGAAAGCCAAAATTTGTATATCCTTGCTGTTTGCCATAGGACCACGAAATCGAATCAAAAATCGGTCATAACTTAGCCAAAAATGCATCAAATTCAATTAGGAAAGCTTTTCTATGCTAGTTTTTTCCAGGTTAACAAATCTGCATACTACATTTAATTTTTCAAAAAATCAAATTTTAGGTCAAATTTTGAAAAAAATCATGATGTAGCCCCTTATCAAATTTCGAAAAAATGGCCAAAAAATAGATTTTCTCCGGAGATGGCCAGAAAGATGCGCCTGTTAATGCTGATCAAGAATATATATGGTTTATAGGGTCGGAAATGACTGCTTCAGTAAATAAAATAAAAATACCCTTCATATTTGAATTCTTTAAAGGGATATTTTTCCAATTTTATACGACTCCTAGAAATCTACAGTCAAATTTACCCCCTTGTGATAAATTAAAAATATATAAATATAATGTTTTCTTAAGCTTGAAATAAAAACACAGCTCTGTACTTTTGTGTATAATTTCTTTATTTCCTCCAAGAATGCACTATTTATAAATACAAATGTGATTATAAAATATGTATATGTTGCAGACACTTAAATACCATTTGGATTTTAGATCGTAAACCTGTATTACAAAGTTTTGTATAAAATAATTACATATACAAAAAGCAAGGGCTTTTCTTTGTTTTTTTTTTTTATATATATATATTTTTTTTGTATTAAAAAGTGTTTTTATTCACAGACATTTATAAAACATATAAATACACATCGACATGTATTTAAATATTACTTTCTTTTGGCAAAATATGGGTTTTTCGAATAACTTACTTCCCTATGATTTCCTTACATCGAAGATGTTGTGTTTACAGCGATTTGGTTTTGTTTTTTGATCAATTTGGAATAATAACTAGGCAAAAATAAAATGATTAAGAACCCAAGACGCTTCGTTGATAACTAACTAGATACATAGTTGTGTAGGTACGTTGAAAGCTTTTAGAACCGAAAACAACAAACAATAAGGTTCGAGGAGTGCCCCTAATCAGCGCACGGTCTTCAGCTTCCAGCGCAGGAAGAGGTACGCCGACACCCTCAGCACCACGAAGATCACAATCAGAGCCACAATATCCAGCGTAAAGTTTGCGTTCACCATGTCCAGCTCCTCCAGCGTCGTAATCGGCGACTTGAAGTGGCAGTAAGTCTGGAAGCACCTCAGCTTCTCACGACCATAGCCATAGGTGGCCAGGGCAGTGCCCTCGAATCCATAACGGATATAGGATAGATATGTGATCCATCTCAAATACACCGGTATGGCATCAAAGGAGACAAAGAAGCCGGAGAAGAGCAGGAAGGGCACAGACATCACAGGAGCCAGGAAGACACCGTTCTGGACATTCATGGCAGCTCCCACAACTAGACCCACGGACTGGGCCACGAACGAGATGAGCAGGCAAGCGGACAGGAACATGGAGAAGCGGAAGAGCTCCCAGGGCTGTGAGGTGAAGTAGTAAACAATGGAAACATAGATCACGCAGAATATAGCCTGGAAGGGATGGAAAAATAGAGAAATTAGTAAGGGGTAAGGTTTAGAGAAGGAATAAATATGGATCGTATCAACTCTATCTTTAAATATCGCCATACTCTCAATATTTTTATTTATTCCACTTCAAAGTAACCTATTTAAACTCACCTGAAAAGGTAGATCTGCCACTGATATAGCCAGATAGTACGACTTGAGCGAATACCAGCGATTAAAGTTTTCCTTTAACAGAACGGGCATCTCCAGGGGGACTAGAAATTATAAAGTATTAATTAACATATATTTCTTTCTGTTAAATAGAACTCCTTACATGACAGAATAGTGATGGTCATGGAGGTGTACATGAGGAACAGCATGTTGAAGAAGAGGAAACCCAGATTACTCAAAACCTTGGCTCCGTCGTTGCCTATGTCGTAGTAGAGAGCGCCAATCAGGAAGCCCACCAAAAGATGAGCAAACAATCTCAGATACATGAGGGTCTAATAAAGAATACAAATTAGTTATCTTCAAGAACCCCAAACTCCTCCCCAAACTCACCCAATCCCGATAACTGAAAAGCAGAGTTCTCTTCAGAACCACCCAAAACTGGTGGAACTGCGAGGTCGGATACCTTTCCGGCGAGGTGATCTCCTCCGTCAGCAAAGCCGTTGTGCAGTTTACACTCTTCTCCACATCGATCATGGCATCGCCCTTCTCATTGGTGGTGACCACAGCAGAGCTAGCATTGCCATCC